TATCACTTTCTTGCTTTCATTTTTTTTATTAATTTTTTTTTGTTCTCAATTTCTTTCTTTATTTTTTTCTCTCTCCTCCCTCTCTCTCTCTCTTATCTAGCTCTGTGAAGACGTCTTATATCTTGTGAAGAACACGATTTGGATATAATCTGTATGCATGATAATCCGAGAAACTTAATAAATAATAAGTCTTCCTTGTTTTCAACGCAATTTAATTTGTTTTCTCACTCTCTTCTCTCTCTCTCTCTCTCTCTCTCTTTTTCTATTTCTCTTTCTCTCTTTCTCTCGCACTTTTACTTTTAGCGTTGTTTTTATTCTATCTTTTTCTTTTTTCCTGGCTTATTATCCTTCTTAGTCTCTCTCTCTCCCCTTCTCTCTCTCACTTTCTCTCTCTCTTTCTTTTTCTCTTATGATGTTTGCGTGGACAAATAATTTCCCATGTGCAAGACATAGACAATTATACAGCATGCATGAATCGTTTGCGGCTTTAATTAAACACACACATTTATTTAATCATTCGTTCTTTAATTTATTTTTCCAATCACTCATTCATTCATTCATTCGTTTATCCGTCCGTTTGTTCATTCATTTATTTTTTCATTCATTTACTAATTTGTTCGTTCATCCATTCATTCACTCACTCATTCATTCATTTCTCAATGGATCTTAAAATTGAAATTGAAATCAAGCAGTGTCTTTGATTATTTGAAAGTGATTTGAGACATTTTTATCTGAAATATTTTAAATATGCTGCTAAATACACACAAATACATATATAAATACACGCACACACACACACACACGCACACGCACAAACATACACACATACACTCACAAAAACTCCCATGTAAACATGTAAACTCCCACAATACATAAGTACACTCGCTCACACAAACACACACACGTACACACAAACACACACACACATCTATACAAACACACACACAAAAACACACATACATACACACAAACACACACACACACATAGACAAACAAATTCATTTCTTATCAAATAACTAGATTGGTTAACGTATTGAACACTCTGCAACATTGCCATGAAATATTACTACAACTATTACTACTACTGCCATGCGTTTATTATCAATAATAATAATTATATCATTATAATTAGTAGTAGTTGAAGTAGTAGCAGCAGCAGCAGTAGTAGCCACACTAGCCGCATTTGTAGTAATCCTAGTAGCCACATTATCAGTAGTAGCAGTAGCATTCGTTGTAGCATCAATAGTAGTAGCAGCAGCAGCAAGAGTAGCTGTAGTAGTAGTAGCAGCAGCAAAAGTAGTAGTTATAGTAGTAGCAGTAGTAATGTTACTACCACTGTTATTAGTCTTAATTCATTAGAACCTTCCATGCATTAGCCATCAATAATTGTTTGAACTGTTTTGAACTGCACGATCTGACCTAACGACTTTAAGGGCATATAAGTGGAGAGATACAACTTTTAAATCTTTCAGACGTTCACTTAATCAATCAATCACTCAATGACCTTGATTAACCTTGTGTCAACTAATCAATCAGTCAGTCAGTCAGTCAGTCGATCGGTCGTCAGCCAGCCAGCCAGCCAGCCAGCCAGCCAGCCAGCCAGCCAGCCAGCCAGCCAGCCAGCCAGCCAGCCAGCCAGCCAGCCAGCCAGCCAGCCAGCCAGCCAGCCAGCCAGCCAGCCAGCCAGCCAGTCAGTCAGTCAGTCAGTCAGTCAGTCAGTCAGTCAGTCAGTCAGTCAGTCAGTAGATAGAGAGATGGATGAGTAAATAAAATAATAAACGAAAGAATGAAAAAAAGAACGAACAAAAGGTAAAAAATAAATTAATGAAAAGTGCCAAAACAAATATTTTAGAAAAATTCATCAACTAAATATTTCAAAAATGAAAAGATGGTTGGATAAAATATGAACAAGAGAATGAACGAATAAACGAATGAGTGAACGAGCAACTGAATGAATGAATGAACCAACAAATGAATGAATGAATGAACCAACAAAGGAATGAATGAATGAACCAACAAAGGAACGAAAGAATGAAACTTTTGAAAAGAAATATTTGAAAAATGGCGAGCAAAGAAAGAATATTTGCAATGAAATATTTCCGCCTCGTCGCTTCTAGGAAACGATAAAAAATATGATACAACTTCTAAAAAGTGTCGGTGAGAGAAAAATTATTATTACTATTATTATTCAATATTATTATTATTGTTATTATTAACCATTATTATTATTACCATTATACTAAAAAATATATAAAAAAATACAAGATACTAGATATAGGATACCAGATATTAGATACAAGATACAGGATACTAGAAACAATATACTAGATACAAGATACTAAAAAATCCCAAACCTCAAAGAAAAAAAACATCTAGAGTAAACAAAAAGAAACTAAATCTATAAAAAATCCAAACCCTTTAAAGGTACAAAAAAAGCCAACCTCTTATGGATCTCCCAATTGAGTATAAATGCGTTATATCAGGATAATTGCGCGTAACATTCCGTAGAAAATCCAGGAGCCAATCAGCGTCATGGTACACAAACGAGGGAGTCTTCAGGAATGCCGGAAAACCAGAATTGGGATAACCAGTTGTGGAGATGTTAGAAACGACGAGAAAGACGACGAACGCTAAGATACTGGATTCGACTGCGTGCTTGGTCATAATATAATCTCGTGTTTTGCTTCATGCTTGTCAGCGAAGGATAGTTTTAAAAATTTAATTATTTTTTTAATTTTTTCAACTTCAGATTTTAGATTGTTACAAAATTGATTTATTGGCAAGTACGTATCTAATAACATCTTGTTTATGAGTATCAAGAAGATATATCTATATCCTAACCCCGATGGCTCTTCTGAATCTGAAAATATCAATATTTCTTTATAAGCTAAAACGAGTTTCAAAAAATACTAACACAAATAGTATGACTAACGTTCAGACAATGAAAAATTTTATTTTATACATCGTAAATAAACAATCATGGAACGTGTGAAACCATTCATGCCTCGACTGTGTCCATAAATTACGCGCTGAAATGAATTTAAAAAACCAACATCGGCTACATCTTTTACTTTCTCTCTTTCTCTTTTTCCCTCTTTCTCTCTCTCTCTCTCTCTTTCTCTTTCTCCCACTCTCTCTTTCTCTCATTCCTTTTCTTTCTGTCTTTTCATATTTTCATAAAAGTATATATACACAAACAAATGAACACCCAGCAAATCGCACATACAAACATGTTTTACAAGAGCAAATATATTAAAGAGAGAGAAAGAGTTTATTTTTTTAAGTTATTTTTGTGATTTTAAATCAAAAGCAGTAAAAAAAAGTAATAAATTATTACATATTAGTACTATATTATGAAATTCTAAACGATTTAAATGATAAAATGTAAAAATAAAATGTAAAAAAATGTAAAAACTGTCACTGCAAATCGAAAAACGAGACGATAAATTTAAGCGAAGCACGCATACTTTTGCGTGGATTTCGTGAGAATGTGCATAATAAAAGTATTGTGCAACACGGTGATTAATGTTAACTTTTTCAATGCCTCAGTCCTAATTAGTGTCGAAATTTCAGACATGTAACCTGTGAGAAAGTTTAGCTGTAGAAATGAGATAATGGGAAAAAATGACGATACGAGACTTCGGAATCGGGAAAATAACGAAACGAGAAAAAATAGTGAGAGATGAAAATTAGTATAATGTCAATTTCTTCAATGCTTTAGTCAAACTTTGTATCAAAATCTCAGTTAAAACTAAACACAGACCTGTGAGAATTAGTTTGGTAGGAAAAGGATTATGGAGAAAATTAAACGAGACGAGACTTCATAATCGGAGAAATAACGAAACCGAAACTTAACATTGGAAAAAATTAGGAAATCACACTTAATAAAGGGAAGAAATAACAAAACAAGAATAACTATAGCAAGATAAAATAACAAGACGGGACATAATAACGAAATGAATAACGAGACGGGACATAATAACGAGATGAATAACGAAACGTGCTAAATTATTGACATTATTACTGCATTATCTTATAAGCAGGGCACAGAATACTTTGAATATTTTCCTAATCTTTAAGATTACAAAATTATAATTGTATAAATAGATAAATGACTGAATGTCAATCAACGAGTAGTAGTAGTAGTAGTAGTAGTAGTGGTAGCAATAAGTAGTAGTAGTAGTAGTAGTATTAGCAGTAGCAGTAGCAGTAGCAGTAGCAGTAGCAGTAGTAGTAGTAGTAGTAGTAGTATTTTTTTTATTATTTTTTTTATTTATTGAACATTGGCGTGATTTGGATGCTCGAAAAAAAAATTCGCAGCTAAACAAACAATCAATGCCTACCTTAATTTTTTATTCGTTTATGATTTTATGATAGCCATTTCGACATTGTTGTTATTAAATAATAAGAATAAGAATAACAACAACAACAGCAGCAGCAGCAGCTGTAGTAGTAGCAGCGGTCACAGCAACAATAACATCCAGCAACGTTCAAAACAACAACAGTAACGATAGCTACAACAACATTTACATCAACAACAACGTCAACAACAAACAAAAAACAATATCACACTAACAACAACAACAACAACAAACAACAACAAACAACAACAACAAACAACAACAACAAACAACAACAACAATAACAACAACAACAAACAACAACAACAAACAGCAGCAACAACAACAAACAACAACAACAACGCTTTCAAATGCAACATATCCTCACCAACTTTCAGCAAAGCTAACGGGGAGAGCAAATGAAGTGAATCAAATTAACTAATTGGAAACATCAAACTAACAAACACAAGGATATAGATTTCAGTTTTTGACATACATATCTACATATCTAAATATATCTATATATCTATATTTATTAACATATCCATATATCAAATGTATCTATCTATTTTTATGCCTATCTTTCTATATATCTTTCCATCCATGTATCTATCTATTCATCTACACGTGTATACACATCTAACTATGTTTTTAGTGCAAAAATCTAACGAAATACCATA